GTTAATAAGATTCTTATCTCCAATTAGCCACCCCAAAGCAGGAAATGGAGCTGTGGTTCAAGTGGCTGAGTACCAGCCTCAAGCTAAAAAGCTAAGGGACAGTGCCTAGGCCTTGAGTTAAGGCTCCAGTGTCAGCACACACACATATACACGTATACGCACATACACACACACATGCACACATTACTTAGGATATTGTAGGCAGGAGAGGCTCAGGACTCAGGTGAGAATGGGACTGTAGGCTGAGAAGTGGATGGAGAGTCTAGAGAGCTTGGTGACACTCTTGGTTGAGAGAGAGAGAGAGAGAGAGAGAGAGAGAGAGAGAGTGTGTGTGTGTGTGTGTGTGTGTGTGTGTGTCCTGCAGGCAGATAACTGGGTAGGTGACTGATGTACCTGACTTAGGTTCTGACCAAACACCCCCTGGATTGACTCTGAAGTTGTTCCAGGTCCCTGCTGCGCTCAGCCATGATGAACACTAGTCAAATCCCCTGTAGTTGGAAGTGTACATATTTCTCCCCAGATAGTGTGGAGCATAGGAGAGCTTTGAACAGGGAGTGGCACTTAATTGAAAACTTACTTTATGCCAGACTATGGCAACATAGCTGGGCAAATCAAGAGGAGGCAGAGCTGGGTGCTAGTGGCTCATACCTGTAATCCTAACTACTCAAGAGGCTGAGATCTGAGGATCGCAGTTTGAAGCCAGCCCAGGCAGAAATGTCCCCGAGAGACCCTTTTTTTTTTTTTTTTGTCAGTCGTGGGGCTTGAACTCTGGCCTGGGTGCTGTCCTTTAGCATTCCAGCTCAAGTCAAGCACTCTACCACTTGAGCAATATCACCACTTCCGGTTTTCTGGTGGTCAATTGGAGATAAGAGTCTCACAGACTTTTTCTGCCTGAGTTGGTTTTGAACCATGATCCTCAGATCTCCACCTGCTGAGTAGCATTCCAGCTCAAGTCAAGCACTCTACCACTTGAGCAATATCACCACTTCCGGTTTTCTGGTGGTCAATTGGAGATAAGAGTCTCACAGACTTTTTCTGCCTGAGTTGGTTTTGAACCATGATCCTCAGATCTCCACCTGCTGAGTAGCTAGGATTACAGGTGTGAGCCACCAACACACAGCCTGTGAGATTCTTATCTCCAATAAACCACTCAAAAACTGAAACTGGCATTGTGGTTCAAGTGGTAGAGTGCTAGCTTTGAGCAGAAAGAGGCTCAGGGACAGTGCCCAGGCCCTGAGTTCAAGCCCTACAACCAACAAGAAAAAAAAAAAAAGAGGAGGCAGAGATAAGAGCCAAGCAGGTAACTGGAAGGAGAAAGTGTTTTTGGAAGAGAAAAGGGCAGTGCAAATGTCCTGAGGCAGAAATGTGTTGTCACTTCAAGGAGCAGGAGGAAAGCAATGTGCTGGGATGGAGGTAGGGGTGAGTGGGTGGTTATGGGAAATTAATGGACTGAAATGGAAAGAAAATATCAGCAAAAGGATACCAATCAATGCCATTCATCATCGGGGAAATGCAAAAGAAAACCACAGTGGTATGGCATATTCCACCCACCAACCTGGTGGCTATTGAGAAGTGGAGACCCTTGGACATTGCAGGTGGAAATGTTAGCTGGTGCACCCACTGTGGAAGACATTTGGTAGTTTCTTGAAAAGTGAAACAAAGTCAGGCACCCATGGCTTATGACTGTAATCCGAGGTACTCAAGGGGCTGAGATGCGAAGATGGAGGATAAAAGCCAGCTTGTTAAGAAAAGTCTATTAAGACTCATCTCCAAATAATCATGAAAAAAAGCCCAAAGTAGAGGTGTGACTCAAGTGGTAGAGCATTAGTCTTAAGCAAAGAAGCTAAGAGACAGCACCCAGGCCCTGGGTTCAAGCCCTAGTACTGGAGCGTGTGTGCGCGTGCGCACGCGCACACACACGTACACACACATACACACACAGAGTGAAGCATAGGGCTGAGGATACAGCTCAGTGGTTCAGCTGTTATCCAGTACGTGCAAGATCATGAGTTCTATCACTGACACTTAAAACGGTAAACAGAATTCTCATACAGTTCAGCCTTTCTGCTCTTAGGCATATATCCAAAATAATTGAAAACAAGGACTTGAACGAGTACATATACCCAAATGTCCATAGCGGCTCTAATAGAAATATCTCAAAAGTAGAAATAAGCTGCACATATCAGTGGATGAAACAATTCAAAGAAAAAAAGTGAGCTGAGCACTAGTGGCTCATGCTTGTGAGCCTAGCTACTCAGAAGACTGAGATCTGAGGATCATGGTTCAAAGCCCACCCAAGCAGAAAAGTCTGTCAGACTCTTACCTCCAATTAACCATTAAGAAGCCAAAGGTGGAGCTGTGGCTCAAGTGTTAGAGCAAAAAAATCTCAGGGTCAGCACCTATGTCTGAGTTCAAGCCCTAAGACTGGCACAGAAAGAAAGAAAGAAAGAAAGAAAGAAAGAAAGAAAGAAAGAAAGAAAGAAAGAAAGAAAGAAAGAAAGAAAGAAAGAAAGAGAAAGGAAGGAAGGAAGGAAGGAAGGAAGGAAGGAAGGAAAAAGAAAAGAAAAGAAAAGAAAAGAAAAAAAGTGATATAGCCAGCCAATGGAATATTATTCAACCACCAAAATGGAACCGAATTCTGGTGCAGGCTACAAAGTAGATGAGCCTTGAGATCATTATATTTGCTAAAGGAACCACATACAAATTGTCAGTGTGATGGACAACTTTCTAATACCAGAACAAAATGCTTGTGACAATCAGCTTATACAAAGGAAAAACAATAACAATAAAAGAGTTACTTTGGCATGTGAGTTCAGAGGTTTTGATCCGTGGTCACTTGGCCCCATTGCTTTGGGCCTGTGGTGGCACAACAGATTAGGAACAGAGCATGTGGCAGAGTGAGACTTGTTTACCTCTTGGAAGCCAGGAAACAGAGAGAGAAAGAGAGAGAGAGACAGGAAGGGGTGGGAGCTCAATACCCCACTTCAGGGCACACCCTAATGACATCACATCCATTTATGAGGCTTCTCTTAAAGGTTCCACTGCGTCCTAACAGCACCTTAGGCTGGTAGCCTTTGGGGAAATTTCTCTAACCATAAGCAGGCATATAGTGTTTGCCTCCATTTACACAAAACTTCAGGAATAAGTAAGTATATAGTAGAGTCAAATAGCTAGAAGGATTAGTAGTTGCCAGGAATTGATGGGGTGGGGGGTGGTAATGGGGACAGTATCCCCATACTCTCTAATGGGAGTGTAGAGAAACTCTTCCACTTTGAATTCTTGGCTAGGATGGATCCTTGTAACAGAAGAATTAATAAATCTGGGCTACTGCTGGCTACTCAGAACTGATAAAGTCTGTGAGACTCTTATCTCCAGTAAACTACTCAGAAAAACCCAGAAGTGGCACTGTGGCTCAAGTGGTAGAGCGCTAGCCTTGAGCACAGAGAGGTCCAGGGACAGCTACTAGGCCCTGAGTTCAAGACCCAGGACTGGCCAAAAGAAAAAAGAACAAAACAAGCACTCATTAACAAGTATAGCTCAGTGTATGTGGGCAATGCCCATGTTACAATTTCTGCTTATCTAATGTCTTCCACGAGGAATGGTGCAGGGGCAGGGACTGGACAAAGAGAAGGATTTTAAGTCTCTGATGGTGAGCAATTATGTGTAGGAAGATAAAGGATGGATACAAGGTGTCTCTGGCAATCAACCTTTGTCCTTCCTGATAGAAGACACTTCTGTAAACTTACATCTCCCTTTTGGGCAAATAGTAGGAAATGCCTTTAGCTCAAAATAAGCCTTATACCAAGGTATGGGATTGGGAGAGTGGGGAAAGTACTAGGGTTTTTAATTCAGGACCTCTCACTTGCTAAGCAGAAATGTGATCACTTGACCCCACTCTGCCAGTCCCTTTTTGTTGTGCTAGTTATTTTCTAATCAGCTGCCCTTTTTATGCCCAGGCTGGCCTAGAACATAGAATCATTCCATTTGTGCCTCCCTTTGTTGTTAAGTTAATAGGCATGCTCTATTGTAATCAGCAATTTGTTAAGATGGGGTTCTACAAGTATCTTTTTATTTTGCTCTGAGTCGACTTGGAACTGCAATCCTCCTATATCTGCCTCCCAAATAGGTAGGATTACAGGTTTGAATGGCTAAGGTGGACTATTTTGTGGTCTCTTTTGGGGGCTGACACAAATACTTTGAAACTAGCAAGGGGGCCATGGGTGTAGGATATGTAACTTACTGAATGCCACTGGCTCATGAGTCTTTAAATGGTGAAGTTAATGTGATATACATTTTACCTTGCAAAGAGCAAAAGGAGGAAGCGGAAGTTTACTTTCAGAAAATTCTTGACCTGTTTTGATGAGATAAAACATAGCTACTGCACAAAAATCCAAAGCTCCAAAACACGACACAGGTGAGCAGTTAATCTTGGGCCCAGTCACCCCTCCCTGGAAGAGCACCCCAGTCTCTTTAGCAGATTCTCCTCTGTTCTTTTCCAATGATCTCTGCATTTCCTTAATTCACATCTAATCACGCTTCACGATATTACAAACATCACAGAAGCTCACACGCTGGCTTAAGCAGAGACTACAGGGAGGGAGCAGCCAGAGGATTTTTTATTTTTAAGAAACGAATATTTTGAGCCACTGGTTGGTACTTTTGCTTGAAATATTTTTTTTCGAATTTTTTAAATTCTTTGCGTGTGGGTAGCTAGTTCATTTTGCAATATTTTTGAGTAAATACTTGATCAATTTGTCGGGCACCCTGATCGCAGCAAGACTGGGAGATCATTCTGGGGGGGAACCTACGTGGCCACCTCACAGTTGCAAGCTCGGTTGGTTTGTTTTGCTTGCAGATTAAAAAAAAAAAAAAAGCTCAGGATCTGGAACAAAGGGCAGTCGCCGCGCCTGCGCAGAACGCACCTGCGCGCCTTTTCCCCGGGAACACGATGGATCATGTCTGGCCCCGCCCCCTGGCGCGACACGCCCACGGCGTGGTGACGTCACGGCGGAGTTGCCATGGCGGCGCTGAGCGGTCTGGCGTCTGCGCTGGAGTCGTACAGGGGTCGGGACCGCCTGGTGAGGCTGGAGTGGATTCCGAGCTCAGCGAGGGGGAAACTGAGGCCAGTGAGAGGGACGCTGTCGCTCAGGATCGCCGGTCCTAGTGACGACCGGACGCTGTTCCCTAGCGTGGAACCCGATGGCACCAGCCCGATCTGCTTGTCACCAACCACATTTCCGGGTTTGGACATTTGGAATCGGACGCGGCCAGTGTAGTTGCTCCAAAAGTTAGGATTTTGGAGGCTACCCCTGTGTCTGATCCCCTCTGGCTGTCCAATTACTGAACGTAGACTCCTCTTTTTTTTTTTTTTAAAGTTTCTTTTTGTAGTCCTAGAACTTGAACTCCAAGCCTGGGCTCTGCCCCTGAGCCTTTTCACTCAAGGCTGGCGCTGTACCACTTGAGCCACAGCTCGATTTCTGTCTTTCTGCTGCCTAATTGGACATTACAAATGTCTCACAGGCTTTCCTGTCTGGGCTGGCTTTGAACCTTGATCTTCAGATTTCTGCCTCCTTCAAGTAGCTGAGGTTACAGGCATGAGCCACAGGTGCTTGGCTAGATTCAGTTTAGTCCCATACAGGTAGCCGTTTCGGTTCTACCAGTGGGTGAATTGGCGTCCAGGCATTTAGATTCCAGCCTAAGTGACTGCATTTCAGTTTTTATCCTCCCCCCCCCCCCCCCCAGGCCACTCTCTCCCAGTTATAGTGTCTGGCCATTATAGCAAGGCTGGAAGGAATTCCTAGTAAAATACATCATAGGAACCAGCTATTATTTTATTTTTTTGAGTGAAAAACTGAGTCTATAGACCAGGTTGGTCTTGAACTACTTGTGATTGTTAGGAAAATGGAGGAGAACGGAAAAAAAGGAATAGGCCAGACTCAATCACCAACAGTCGAGGACTGTTTGTTGAGGAACTGCTAGGGGACACAGACCTTCCCGCGGGCTTGGCGGTTGTGCCTTCGAGTTGGGACAGGAGCTGGGCTTTTATAGGAGGTCCAAGCAAGGAGGCAGAGGTTAATGAAAAGGCCACTAGGGCAAGGAAGGTGGAGGCCTTTCAGTTGGGGGTTACTACGGGGTGTTTACAGCTGGGTTTAGGTGGATGGCCCTGCCTGCACTTCAAACAAGTTCACACATACCTGGGATTTTGCCTGGCATCCTTATGGGCCTGGGACAATAGGGTGGGGGGCAATCCTTCAGAGATCCTCCTGTTTCTACTTCCTGAGTGCTGGGATTACAGGTGTGCACCACTGTGCTGGGCTTGGAATGAGCAAATTCAGGAAAGTAAAGGACGGAAAGGCAATGAGCCTCATCTATTTTACAAGGTTCCAGATCACTTCTAGAGTGGGCTTTCTTCTCCTTTAAAGTAATTCAAGTTCTTTTTTTTTTTTTTTTTTTTTTGGTGGTGGTGGGCTTGTACTCTGGGCCTGGGTGCTGTCTCTGAGCTCTTCAGTTCAAGGCAAGCGTGCTCTACCACTTGAGCCACAGTGCCACTTCTGGTGGTTTATTGGAGATAAGAGTCTCTCTGACTTTTCCCACCAGGCTGTCTTTGAATCGTGATCCTCAGATCTCAGCCTCCTGAGTAGCTAGGATTACAGGCATGAGCCACCAGTGCCCAGCTCAGCAAGTTCTTATTTTTGTGTCTTGTATGGGGGCTGGATGACACCATGCCAGCTAAAGGGCTTTGGTCAAACCAGGTAGATACAAATATACATTTCAGCCTTGTCCTTCTGTCTGCTTGTCTCACGAACAAGAACCTCTTTTGTGTGAGGTTTGTTGCTGTAGAATTGCCTTTGGGTTCAATCCTGCATGGCCAATGACCAGGCCAAGGGTTCTGTAGCTCCGCCCAGGGGCAGGACATAGGGCTGACTGCTTCTGTTTTCTCCTAGATCCGAACACTGGGGTACTGCTGTCAGCTGCTTGGTGGGGTCCTGGTTGAACAATGTCCCTCCAGGTCAGAATTGGGGACACGGCTGCTGGCAATGTCTGCCCAGCTCAGTCACTGCAGGACTGTCCTGAGACTCTTCGATGACTTGGCTATGTTTGTCTACACTAAGCAATATGGCCTGGGGACAGAGGTAAAAAGGCGATTGTGTGGCTGTGAGGAGAGTTGGGGATCCTTCAGTTTTGGTCCCAAAAGCTTTTTATGGATTTGTCCCACACATGTTCCTGATGAACACTTTATGAAAATAATTCTTTTCATTATTTGGTACTACTGGGGATTGAACTCACATCCTTGAATTTGCTAAGCTGATGTTCTATCATCTGATCCAGACCTTTTCCTACCAACTGAGAATTGTGATCCTCTTTTTTGGGATGAAGCTATTCTAGGTGAGATGGGATTTCACAAACTTTGAAAAAAAATTGTCGGTCACAGGGCTTGAATTCAGGGCCTACATGCTACCCCTACATGCTCAAGGCTAGCACTTTACCACTTTGAATCACAGCTCCACATCCGGTTTTCTGCTGGTTCATTGGAGTTAAGAGTCTCATGGACTTTCTGACCGGGGTTAGCAGTGAACTGTGATCCTTAGATCTCAGTCTAGGTTTACAGGCATGAACCACCAGCACCTGGCCTCCCAGACCATTTCTTGTCACTCCTGCAGCCTCTGTGTATATGTGTATGCCTGTCCTGGGACTTGAACTCAGGACCTCTGGGCACTGTTTATTAGTTTTTCCCTCAAGGCTCCTGTTCTACTAATTGAGCCACTGCTCCACCTAGCTTTTTGCTGGTTATTTGGAGGTAACAGGCTTTTCTTGTCTGTGCTGGCTTTGAACCTTGATCCTCAGATCTCAGCTTCTTGAATAGCTAGGATGACAGGCATAAACCATATATGACTGGTTTGGGGTTCAGGTTATTATTAGTAGTATTAGTATTAGTATTTTTGTCAGTCATGGGGCTTGAACTCTGGGCCTGGGCACTGTCCCTCAGCTCTTCAGCTCAAGGTGAGCACTCTACCACTTGAACCACAGGGCCACTTCCGGTTTTCTGGTGGTTTACTGGAGATTAAGAGTCTCACGGACTTTTCTACCCAGGCTGGCTTTGAACCTTGATCCTCAGACTCAGCCTTCTGAATAGCTAGGATGACAAGCATGAGCCACTGATGCCTGGCTTTATTTTTTAAATTTATTATTATTCTTTCTTGCCAGTCTTGGGGCTTGAACTCAGGGCCTGGGCCCTGTCCCCGTGCTTCATTTGCTCAAGGCTAGCACTTTAACACTTGAGCCATGGCACCACTCCCTGCTTTTTCTGTTTATGTGGTACTGAGGACTAGAACCCAGGGCTTCATGCATGCTAGGCAAGCACTCTACCACTAAGCCACATTCTCAGCCTGGGGTACAGGTTTTTAAGTCCTCTCCTAAGAGTATAAGAAATACAAGGCTGGGCTTTGTGGCACACTCTAGCTCAGTCTTTGCTTTTTGTAGAGGCCCGAAATGAGAGGTGGCTGGATCCAGTGCCACAGGCTGTTGGAGAGAAATCTCACCACCACCTACCTGCTGTGGCCACAGGCTTAGACTGGGCAGTGGGTGGCTCTCACCTGTCATCCTAGCTACTCAGGAGGTTGAGATCCGAGGCTCACTGTTCAAAGCCAGCCTGGGAAGTGAAGCTGTGGCTCAAAGTGGTAGAGTGCTAGAGTGAAAGAACTCAGTGACAATGCCCAGGCCATGAGTTCAAACCCCACGTATAACACCCCCCCCCCCAAAAGGCAGTGGGTATTTTAACCTCAGGCTCCTCCCCTCCCCTGACCCTGCAGGAGGAGGATGTTTTTGTTCGTTCCCTGTCTGTCTTGAGTAATGTAGCTGACCAGCTGTACTACCCCTGTGAACACGTGGCCTGGGCAGCCGATGCCAAGGTCCTCCCTGTGGACTCTGCCCGGTGGTGGATGCTAAGCACAGCCCTCTGGGGCCTGTCCCTGCTCCTGGGGGTTGCCAGGTGAGTGACATCAGCCAGGGTCGGCCGGTCCCCAGGTGCTGTCTCCTCAGCAAGGCTGCAGGGGCACCAGCCCTCACAGCTTGCTTTGTACAGGGAGGGAATGGATTTTTCACTTTTTGGGGGGTCATTTTCCTTTACCATATTATGTTCTCTTCTGAGAATTGATGTAACAAATCAGCACAAACCAATCCCAAATTTGTTTTCCTCACATTCTTGGAGGTCAGAAGCCTGAAATTAGTCTCTTCAGGTTACTGTCTGGCTGTGGGGGCCACGGAAGACCTGAATCCCACTTCTTCCCCTCCCTTTCCTTTCCCTCTTTTCATTTTTTGTGCCAGTACTGGGGCTTGAACTCAGGGCTTAGAAGCTACCCTTTAGCTTTTCCCCTTCAGGCTGGTGCTCTACTACATGCACCATGCTCCACTTCCATTTTCTTTTTTTTTGCTGGTTCACTGGAGGTGAGAGGCTTAATAGATTTTCCTGCCCAGGCTGGCTTTGAATCGCGATCTTTGCATCTCAGCCTCCCGAGCTGCTAAGATTACAGGCATAAGCCACCAGCACCCTGCTGTGGTTCCTTCTTGAATCTTCCAGGCCCGGTCTTGTCACTGGTACCTGCCTCATCTCTCCATGTCGAGCATCTGTCTTCCTCCAGTGCTCAGAGCCTCCAGGGTGGGCGCCTGGACGGGCCTCTGAATGCACCTGGGGCTGTGGCTCCCGCCCTCGTGTCCATCAGCAGGCAGGTCCCAGATGTGGCCTGGGTAGGCTCCATCGGGGAGGGCCCAGGACTGTCCACTGGGGGCAGGGGAAGGTCCTTTTGTCACAGCCGCAGGCTTTGTGAAAACCGATGGTAGTGGTCTCACGTGGCCCCGGGGAGCTGAGCCCTCTGCTGCTCTGGTGGCGTGTCATGGCCCTTGTGTGTTGCAGGTCGCTGTGGATGGTGCTGAGACTGAGGCAGAAGCTGCGAAGCCCCACGGCCAGCCTCTCCAGGTATGGTGTCCAGGCTTCAGCAGGGAGGCACCCAGGGCTGCCCATGAGCTGAGCTCCTGATAGCTCTGCACAGTTGGATGGGCACAAGGTCGCAGGGCCTTACCACGACCGTGTGTGTGTGTGTGTGTGTGTGTTTGTGTGTGTGTGTGCGCGCGCGTGTGCGTGACTGGGACTTGAACTCAGGGCATAGGTACTGTCCCTGGTATTTTTTCTTTTGAGGCCAGCGCTCTACTACTTGAGCAGCAGCTCCACTTTCAGCTTTTTGCTGGTTAATTGGAGATAATACTATCTCCTGCCTGGGCTGGCTTTGAACCATGATCCTTGCCATTTCAGCCTCGTTACTTTTTCATCTTATATGAAAACCCTACACACACACACACACACACACACACACACACACACACACACACACACACACACACACACACACACATGCCACCTTCCTGCCTGGGTACAAGGCATTTGAGAGGATGGAGACATGGGTGTGAGGCTGCATCAGAAGATCCTTGTACATTCTCCAATTAATTTTTTTTTCTTTTTCTTTTTGCCAGTGTTGGGGCCTGGATTCTGGCCTGGGCGTTGACTCTGAGCTTCTATTGCTCAAGGCTAGCGCTCTACCACTTGAGCCACAGCACCACTTCCGGTTTTCTGGTGGTTAATTGGAGTTAAGAGTCTCACTGACTTTCCTACCTAGACTGGCTTTGAACTGTGATCCTCAGATCTCAGCCTCCTGAGTAGCTAGGATCACAGGCATGAGCCACCAACACCCGACTCATTTAAAAAATTTTTCCATTATTGTGATTTCTTTTTGGTCAATCATTGGTCTTGAACTTGTGACCTGGATGCTGTCCCTGTGCTTTTTTGCTCAAAGGTAGTGCTCTACTACTTGAGCCCCAGCTCCACTTTTGGCTTTATTGGAGTTGAGTATGGACTCAAACTTTATTGGAGTCTATATTGGAGATGAGTCTTTGTGGACTTTCCTGCCTGGGCTGGCTTTGAACCATGATCCTCAGATCTCAGCCTCCTCAGTAGCTAGGATTACAGGTGTGAGCCATTGCACTTGTCCGTGTGTGTGTGTGTGTGCGCGCGCGCACTTGCGCATGCCCACGTGTGTGCATGCAGGGGATCCAGGTGACCACCTCTGAGGCCCGCCCCCCCCCCCCCCCCCCCCGCAGGCCTTCCCCTTCACAGGCAATCTCTGTCCTGGCTCCCTGGGTCCCACCTAAGCGCTTTGGGGTGCCAAAGCCTTGGGTAGGACAGGTGGTGAGCGGCTCCCCTCTGCACCCACAGTCCACTGTCCTGGAGCAAGCGGAGGGCTGTGCGCGCCCGGATGCGATCCGAGGTCCTGACTCTCCTCAGCAACCTGGCTGACCTGGCCAACGCCATCCACTGGCTGCCCCAGGGCGTGCTGTGGGCTGGCCGCTTCCCCCCGTGGCTGGTGGGCCTCATGGGCACCATCTCTTCCCTGCTCAGCGTCTACCAGGCAGTCTGCACTGACAGTCAGGCTGAGGCTGGCAGCCCCTGACATGGGCAGAGGGGTGGTAGACATGGCCAGGTCCCCACCCAGGGCCCCAGGGCAGCGTCTTTGATTGAGCAGCCTGGTACGGCCTGTGGGATGAGGGGCTGCTGTGAGGGTCCCCCAAGGCCCAGCCAGGGGTGCTGTGGTGGGAACTTCTCTCTAGGGACCACAGTGGGGAGGACCCCAAGACTCCCCAGTGGAGGTGGAGCTTGAAGAAGGTGGGTAGCTCCTCAGCCTCCCACCCACCGGCTGGCCAGAGGCCTTGTATCCAAAAATACGAAGGGGAGCAAGAGACTGATCAGGCCCCAAGAGGGGTCTTGGGGAGCTGCAGAGACAATCAGTTATTTTTTGGGAAAGCAGGAGAGACAGCTGATTAAACATCCTGGTGCTGGCGCTGTCTGTGGTGACGTCATTAGACTCTGGTAGTGCCTGGCCCCTTGCTGCCCTGGACACAGCCCCTCACACAGCGGATGGAGCTGACTGTACCCCTAGCCTGCCTTCTGAGTGTCCTTACCCCCCCACAAGAAGGACAAAGGAACTCAGAAAAAATGGACAGATCCTTCTGGAAAAAGGCTCAGCACCCAAGGCCTCACCATGCTAGGCAAATCCTAGGCCATGGAGCCACACCCCAGCCCTCCTTGTGGGACCAGGGCCTGTGGCCCTAAGCAGGTGTTTGACCACTGAGCCCTCTGCCCCGCTTTAGCTTTACTGGAATATAACCCATAGCTGTCCAACTTGCCAGTGTGCAATTCAGTGGTGTGTAACTATTCAAGGGGTCACTTTAGGGTATTTTTTTTTTTTTTTTTAGCATGGCCTGGGCGCCGTCCCTGAGCTCTTTTTGCTCAAGGCTAGTACTCTACCACTTTCAGCCACAGCGCCACATCTGGTTTTCTGGTGGTTCACTGGAGATGAGCCTCACACTTTCCTGCCTGGGCTGGCTTTGAACTGTGATCCTTAGATCTCACCTCCTTGAGTTGTTAGGATGACAGATGTGAGCCACCGGTGCCTGGCTTGGGGTTCCTTCTTGCACACAACCTTAATGACCCATGTGAGCATATTCCATTTTGGGGTGCCCTCTGATCTCACTGGGGGCCAATAGTCAAGCCAGGGAAGGATAAGGGGATGGCTGGGGAAGAGGCTAGACTAGGATAGCCTGACACAGGCCCAGGCTGACATCTCTGTGGCGTGGCCTGGCCTGGCGCCAGGGGCTGTGGGCTCCAGCATGAGGCGGTACCAGGCAAGGCGGCATTGGTGGTCTCAGCTGGCCATATCCGCTCTGCCCTACGGGTGTGGGTACCACCTGTCCCCTTCCTGCATCCCAGTATTCCCCACCTGTGGCCCAAGTTTGGGCACCAGACAATCTCTAGCCCTGAAGAATGCTTCTGTCAGAAGTCCGCTCAAGACACTTTTATTGCTAGAATCTGGTCCCGAAACATCACACGCAGTTAGGTGTCACAAATAACTGTCAGGAATGATCGTGTCTGCAATGGGTGGAGACCGCGTGCACAGATCTCACCCACACCTGCGTGCTACTTGGCCACCACCTTTGCAAACAGAATGGGCTCTCCCCTACAAATGACTGAAGGGTGCTAGGAGAGATGCCCCCATGGGTGGGGCCCTTCTGTGCACAGAGTGGACCTGGTCCCCACCACGTGGCTTCTCTGGCTAGGACTGGAACATGCCAGCTTGGGGGACAGGTGTGTGGCCACTGGGGGGGGGGGGGCGGTGGGAAGGGGATTGCCACTGGTGCTAGGCAGGGTTCTAAAACAGCAGGGAGTTAGTCTGCTCTTCTAAAGTGCTTGGATAAATCTCAGTACAAAAGTACAAAACACTGGAACATGGCACAGGTGTGCTGGGGGAGGGGCGCTCCAGACACAGGAGAGACAGTTACGAACGGAAGAGGACCAGCGTGCGCAAAGTTGAGGTTCTAAGACGCGTGGGGGGACAAAGTCAGGGGATACCACGCCACCTGTTGTGCTCTCAAGTCCTGTCACCACCACTGGCTGGACCCCAGCTACTGTCTGCACCTGCCTGGTCCCCAGGGCACTGGGAACCTTGCCTTACAGGGGTTGCTGCCTAGGAGGGCACTTCCTCCTGGCTTCCAGTCCTCTGTGCCTGCCCAGTGTTGGGGATGGCCCGGTGGGGCACTGGCAAGACAAGTCCTCACTGGGGCCCAGGAAGCTCATTTGGCCCTGGTTGGGGTCCAAGAACCCATGAGAACTAGAGTGAGCAGCTTGGGACCTGGTCTTATTGCCAAGTCCTACTGTAGGCAGCCAGGCTTGAGCTCTGAGCAGCCGGGCTGGGCCTGGGCATTGGAGATCGGCCCATTTTCCTGTGTGGTTCACCCATGGCCTGAGTGGCTCAATGCAAGGTTGGAGGCACCAACACAAGCCACTTGTGTCACTATCCCTACGCCTTTCCTCCATATGCCTGTGTGGCGGGGACACCAGTCCCTGGGGGGCCTGGGGGGAAACCTATCCATTTCATGGGGACTGAGGACCCTTCCACTTAGGGGGTGTCTGCTCTGGCTGGGACCTGAGGGCTCAGCCTCCCAGACAGGCTGAGGGGTGGAGTGGGTGGGTGCTCTTGAGACACAGTGTTTGGAAAAAATCTATGTCAGGTTACACAGGGCGACAGGTGGTAGCTCCCTTTAAGCTGAGCTCCATGGTCCGCCATAGCCCACGGCCTCCCTCACTTGTTGGCTGAGGATCTGTCACTGCTGGGGGAGGGGGGGGTCTCTGCCCTGCAGGGGAAACTGCCTGGCTTTGAACATCCACCCCTACAGTTGCCCTGATGATGCCCAAGCTTCATGGTGGCCTCCTGACATGGAGGCCTTGTCTCTTCCAGCTCCTGGGGGAACCCACACTTCTTGCTGCCCAGAAAACCACTTCTCCCTACATAACAGGGTGCTCTGGTTCAAAGCAGCTCCTTGGCTGAGCATGGGTTCAGGCTCTGGAGGCATCCCTGGGGGGGGTCCCCCATCCCTTACAAAGAACCCAAAGACTGCAGTACCTGGCCAGGCGGACATCAGAGAGGGGGGTGCTTAGGCAGGAAAGGGGGTCAGCTGATCAGGCATAGTCACCCCACGTTGGGGGGGGGTTACCAGAGATACAGAGGCTGTGCAGGACAGAGCAGGGCCTGCACTTGGGGTCTCCACCCCTCAGAAGAAGATGACATCTTCCTTGCTGGCTTCTTCCTTGCTGGCCAGGGGTGTGGCCGGCAGTGGTGAGGGGGGTGGGGGCATGGGGGCACCCCCAGACAGGGCCGGGAAGCAGAGATCTGAAAGAGAGGGGAGTGGGGGTGTGAGGCGCGGTCAGATGGGGTGGATGGCAGCTCTGCTCTGTGGCCGGGCAGGGCTCACCTGGGGTGGGCACAGAACCGTGGCTGCCAGGCAGGACGGGGCTGAGCGAGCGCCGGTTCCTCGACGTGTTCTCGTCCTTCCCCAGGAGCTTGTTGAGGAGCAGCTGCTGCTTCAGGTCGAATGATGCTACATGAGGGTGGGGGAGGTGCTCAGGCCTGGCCCCAGGCCACCCCCAGCCTGACCCACCCTCCACAGACAACCAGAGGGGACCAAAGAGTCACTGGATGTTGGAATAAGAGGGCACAACTCCCCAGCATATGTCCTTTGCTTGTGATCCACAGCATCCAAGCTCTCTCGGCAAGAGAACGTTCTAGAACACCCTGAGCTTGCTCTGATTGTGTGGAGTGGTGGAGGCAGCAAGGGACCATAGTGCCTCTGGGCCTCACTGTCTCTCTCTCTGGACAGGTGTCCATGCTGCAGGGTCCTGTGTGAACACTTCTCATCCACACCCCAGTCAGACCCCCCTCCCCCAGCCCCCCCACTTTAGGTCAGAGACAGGGCCAGGACTTAAGTTCTGTCATTTCCAGTTGGCTCTTTGGACAAAGGCTGCCACTCTGGTTCCTTCTGGCTGTCCTGGGTGTCCTGTTGGGCCGGGGGCAGCTTACCTGAGCTCTCCCAGCGCTGGGAGCCTCTGTTCTTGCTGCCCTTGTCCTTGCTGCCCTTGGTGGACGCGGCCAGCTTGGTGGGGATCTGCTGCTGCACAGCTGCCTGCCTCTGGGTCTGGTTGGTGGTGCTCAGCAGCTGGATGGGCACATCGCTCTTGGCTGGGGCACTGTCCCGGCGAGCCACTTCCGGGCGCTCCACACAATCAGGCCCGGCCCCCGACAGGAGCATGCTCATCCGGGTCCCTTTGGTGGGGGCTGATGGCCCCTCCAGCCCTTCCCCATTGAAGCTGGGGGTGTGGCTCAGGGGCTGGGCCTGAGAGGGCGACAGAAAGCATGTCCCAATGGGGTTGGGCCTGGTGTGTCCCCAAGCTGTTAAATAGTTCTAACTTGGGCACGCATGCTCCCTGCTCCCGCATCTGCTTTTATTATTGTCAGTACTGGGGACTGAACTCAGGGCTTTGTGTTTGCCAGGCAGGTATTCAACCACTTGAGCCACACCTCCAGTCCCCCTGGTTTTATTTTCAGACAGAGTCTTGCACTTTTACCTCAGATGCCTCAGACACTAACTGCTCCACTCCTGAACAGCTGGGATTATAGGTGTGTATTACCACAACCAGCTTGTTTGTTAAGGTAGGGTCTTGCTAACTTGTTTTTACCTAGGCTGATCTGGAACTCCTGGGTTCAGCTGGTTTTCCTGTCTCCTGTTGTAGGCAAGTTCTCTACACCCGAATATTCATCCATTTCTCTTTGTGCCAATACTACGGCATGAACTCAGGCAGAGCCTGGGTGCTGCCCCTTAGCTTTTCACTCAAGGTTGGTGCTCTACCACTTGTGCCATGCCTCCAGTTTTGCCTTTTGGTGGGTAATTGGAGATATGATTCTGCTTTGACTAGCTTCGAAGCGCAATGCTCACATCTTAGCCTCCTGAGTGGCTAGGATTACAGGCATGTAAGCCTAGTCCGGGACCTTAATATGGACACCTGGGAGCATGCGCTTGTCCTCGGCCAGGCCTGGCTGGCCCCAGCTCACCTCGGCCAGCGCCTCTGGTGGCAGTGCCCCGGGCGCCGTGTTCTGCTTCTTGAGTTTGCGCAGTAGGTCCTGGCGCTCCAGTCGCTCGCGCTCGCGCTCGTTGGCGCGCATGGCCTCGCGCAGCCGCTCTAGGTCCTGCTGGTAGGCCTGGCGGTGCTGCTCCAGATCTGAGCGCTCCTGGTCCAAGCGCAGGCGCAGCTGCCGTGCCTCGTCCTCGCGCTCCTGCAGGCGCGCGCCCGCCAGTTCCAGCTCTTGCTGCTGGCGCATGCGCTCACGCTCCCAGCGCTGCTGCTCCTGCCGCAGCTGGCTCTGCAGCCGCTCCACGCCCGCGCGCTCCTCCCGCTGCTTCTCGAAGTTGCGCTGCCGCTCCTGCTCCAGCAGCAGGTTCCCGCGCGTGGACTGCAGCCGGAACTGCTTCTCCCGCTCCTGGATGGCTGCCCGCTGCATCTCTACGTAGCTGTCCTGCTGTGCGATGACAGCCTGTGGGGCGGGGCCAAGGGCGGGGCGGTGAGAGACACGCCCCCAGTCCCAGCCAATTGCGAATGGGCACACGTGGCTAGTCCCTCCCACATGTCCCCAACCTCCACCTATACCTGCAGGCCTAAGAGCAGCTGCGACAGCGTCTGGACTCGCTGGACAAGCTAAGGGGAAAGACAGACTCGGGTTGCCATCAAGGCTCCACGGGGAGTGCATGCCGGTCCCTGGGAAGGCGGGAGGAACCCCACCTACCTCGGACTCCAGGATAGTGGGCAGACGGGGGCCAGTCTCCGCCTTGAGCACCTCACCCTGCAAAGTGGACAAACCCACATCAGTGTCCAAGGAGGCCATTTACATCCAGACATGCCTTGAAGTTAGGGGATCGAGAGAAGCCCAGGGGAACAGGCCCTGTAGTCAGCCCACTTTGGAAAGTGTGGAGAATGAAGGGATGGAGTGGTAAGGTCTCCCAACAGGGGGTGCTTGGGTATAAAGTTTGTTGATTGGCTTCCACCTTTCTGGGTCAAAGGGGAGGAAAGTACCAGAAAGACATGGACCCCAGTTGGTTACACCTGCGCTGACTGAAGTCCTGGGGCCCCAGGGTGGGGCTCCTGACCTGGGATGGGCCACAGCCCTGGCTCTGGGCTGTTCCCCACTGCCTCCCTCCCACGTGTCTCCTGTCATTTCTGGGGATGAAATCAGCTGCTTGCCAGGAGCCTGGGCAGAGAGGGACACCACTAAACCAGAATAGCACACTCACGGTCATGCTCCAAGGACAGGGAAGCAGATATCAGCCCCCCCCCCCCCCCCCCCCCCCCCCCCCCCCCCCCCCCCGCCTTCCCAAGAAACCACGCACCGCTTGCCGTGACTCTTTACTGCCTCTTGGCGCATCACCATCTCCGAGTTTCATGTCGGGGCTGCTGGCAGGCCCCCTCCAATCTCGGGGCCTGGGGTCATTGCTATAGACCTTCTTCTTAAAACTGCCATCTGGGAACCCCAAGTGGGGCACATGAGGACACTGGGGATCTGGAAGCTTCTTCCTTTACTCCCCCTCCTCCCCCCCGCCCCTGCCCAGGTGGGAAAGGCAGGCCCAAGTGCTCTCTGTGGCATCTTGGCAGAGCAACCGGCTAGGGCTGAGTGCTGGTGTCATCCCACCTGGATTTTGGGGAGCTGGAAGAGGGGGGTGACATACTTACTCCTGCTGGGGCTGCCAGTGCTGTCATAACCCCCAAAGGTCTCTGCCCTCCGGGGGAGGCCCGAGGGGCCTCCTCCCTCCTCCACCTGGCCATTGGCACTGCCCAGCCGCCTGCAGATTAAGCTCTGGATGCCCTCAACTGTGGAGGAGACGGGAGAATGGGCACCCTGTGGAGGCAGGCTGGGACAGCCATCCCCCACTTTCCTCCCCCATCCCTGTACCACAACCAGAACCTACCAATCTGAGTCTAAGTTAGAGGTCAGGGCCACAGGGCAGCCATGGGGAGGGACCCCTCCCCCCTCCAGCCCTCCCAGGGGCCAGCTGTGTCCAGGCCTTTGGCCAAGGGCTTAGTGAGACTGCCCAGGCTTCATCCAGTCTGGTAGCAAACAGAAGGGTGAGCACTGCTTGTGGAATGTCAGCAGTGCCTCAGGGTGACCCTTTGGGGACCCACATGGCCCTCTAAGGGCAAAAGTGTTTGGCCAATGAAGAGGTGGGAGAACATTCCAGGCCTAGGGGCAAAATACACAAATGTCCTGGGGACCAAGAACAATGGCCCTAGGAGAAATGGGTGGAAGGACAACACAGATGTGGCCAGAACTGGTGGCTCATGCCTGTAATCCCAGCAACTTGGGAGACTGCTAAGAGGAGGATCATGCTTCAAGGACAGCCTGAGCAGAAAAGTTGGCAAGACCTATTTTCAATCCTTATCTGGGCACAGTAGACACATGCCTGTTACCCTAGCAATCGTGGGAACCTTAAAATAGGTGGATCACAGTTCAAGTACATGCTGAAGCAGGAAGTGAGGCACTATCTTAAAAAAAAAAAATAGGGCTGGAGGCATGGCTCAGTGGTAGAGGCCCTGACCATGAAAAAGAAGGGAAGAAAGAAAAGAACCTACACTAGGGCCATGAGGGCTCAAGGAAAGTACTGCTGATTCCAGAAAAAGTGCTTTAGGGAGCTGGCTCATGCTTGTAATCCTACTCAGGAGGCTGAGATCTTAGGATCGTGGTTCAAAGCTAGCCCAGGCAGGAAAGTCTGTGAGACTCTTATCTCTAAGAATAAACTACCAGGGCTGGGAAGGTGGCTCAGTGGTAGAGTGCTGGCCTTGCATGCGTGAGGCCCTGGGTTCGATTCCTCAGCACCACATAAGCAAAAAAGAAAAAAGCCGGAAGTGGCGCTGTGGCTCAAGTGGTAGAGCGCTAGCCTTGAGCTGAAGAGCTGACGGACAGTGCCCAGGCCCAGAGTTCAGACCTTACAACCGGACTCCCCCCCCCCAAAAGAAAAAGAATAAACTACCAAAAAAAAAAAAAAAAAAAATCCAGTAAGTGGAGCTGTGGCTCAAGTGGTAAAGTGCTAGCCTAGAGCAAAGGAAGCTTCAGGGACAGTGCTCAGTCCCAGAGTTCAAGCACCTGGAATGGCAAAACTAACAAACAAAAAAAAAGTGCTTTAGGGCTGGCAAAAGTGTGGCGAGAGGTTGCCTAGCACGTACTAGGCCTTTGATCTAGCATCAAGGTCTAAACATGTAGCTGGAGGTAGCGCTGGGCCTTGCCCTGCCAGCCAGTGCAGGGTGGCATGCTGACCTGGCCTGGCAGGATGGAGTGCTGACTTACTCTCATTCATGGCCGACTTAAGGAGCTGTTCCCCCTGCAGTGTCTCTGCGGGGTCACCCCCACGGAAGAGCCCGAGGGAGTGGGACTGGCCGGGATCTTGGAGCCCACTCATCTCTGCCATCTCCATGTAGATCTGCTGCTTCTCCAGGAGGCTCTGAGTGATCAACTGGTCCTTCAGGCTTAGCCGCTCTGCAAAGGAACATGGCGGTGGCGCTCAGCCCAGCCAGCCCTCCCCAGAATCCCCTGTGCCTGGCACCGGGTGGCAGGCTATGGGGATAGGCATCTGGCTGACCTTGAACTCCAGGAGGGGGAATCTGGGTCCTGGGGCCAGTGGCCCTGTCCTGGTGGTCCCTCCCACCTGCACTGTGAACACCATACCATCTTAGAAGATGGGACTCCGTCCCACTTCCCCCCCTCCCCATCCCGAGTGGGGGGTGAGACTGGTTCTGGGACTTGAGCTCAGGGCTTAGGTGCTGATCCTGAGCTGCTTTTGCTCAAGGACAGAGCTCTACCACTTGACAGAACTCTACTTCTGGCTTTTTGGTAATTTATTGGAGATAAGGAGTTGTGTGGACTTTCCTGTTCAGGATGGCTTTGAACTCTAATTCTCAGATCTTAGTCTCCTGAGCTAGGATTACAGGTGTGAGCCACCAGGACCTGGCAAGATAGGACTTTTAACATGAAGGAAACATGAGGCCACCATGCTCAGTGAGAGAAGTAGACACAAAATGCCCCACATAGTGTGTGGCTCTATCAATAAGAAACTTCCAGAACAGGTGGATCTACAGCCAGGGAATGGATTTATGGGGGACCACTGGGATGGGTGATGGCTGTATATTGCTAACACTCAAAAAGTCACAGACTAGCTGGGCACCTGGGGCTCACACCTGTAATCCTGCTATTCATGAGGCTGAGATCTGAGGATCATAGTTCAAAGCCAGCCCACCAGGCAGGAAAGTCTCTTTTGCAATGAACTACCCAGAAAAAGTCAGAAAAGGTGCTGTGGCTCAAGCGGTAGAGCGCTAAGCCTCAAGCAAAAGAAGTTCAGGGACAGTGCCTAGGCTTAGATTCAAGCCCCAGGAGTGGCAAAAAATAAAATTAAAAAAACCCACAGATCCTACGTCCTGAAGTGAGTAGAATATGATTACATGATTACACCTTAATAAAAGGGTTAAGAAGCACCCAGAGAGGAGAGTCCTCGATTTTCCAATTACTAAGCTAGGCTCTGTAGGTCTGCATGTGAGTACCAGGTGTGCTGGTGGGCACACCTGGTAGTGAGCAGGGGACACACACAACAAGATGGGTGTGTGACATTTGGATCTTACGTCACCATCCCACCATACAGCTCTGCCCCAGAGGCTCCCCACAGCAGCAGGACATGGGGCACATCCAGGCAAAGTGGCTGGTCACGGGTGATCCCTTCCACATCTAGCCCCAACAGGTCAGGACAGAGAGACTGAGGGGCTGGGGACCATGCGAGGGGCCTGCCCGCATGCCAACTCCTTACCTTGGAAGTCCCTGAGTCTCATGGCTCGTGCCTCTACTGCCTTTCTCTCCTCCTCGGCCTCACTGAAGGGTCCTTCCTCCTCATCAGGACAGCTGCAGAGAGGGGAGAGATGGCATCAGCTCCCTGGAAGGCTGGCTCAGACATGGATGCTGGTGGTTAATTGAAGAGTCTCATGGACTTTCCTGCTTGGGCTGGCTTTGAATGATGATCCTCAGATCTGAACCTCCTGAATAGCTAGGATTACAGGTGTGAGCCACCAGTGCCTGGCATAGCCTGTGTGGTTTTGAGAGGGATTTTACTTGGAAGAAGAGAGGGGAAGAGCAAAGAGCCAGTAACATGTATTTGGCTGAAAGCACCAAAATATCTTCAGGCAAAAGTTTTCTTTTGGAAAACTCTGTCAGCCACACTCGTCTAGAACTTAGATCTTCCTGCCTTAGCTTCTTCCCCAGGGCTAGAATTACAGACATGTGCTACCACGCCCAACTTCAAGTACAGGTTTGAGGCTCTTCAAGCCACAATCTTCATAACTCAGCCTCCTAAGTAGGTAGGATTATAGGCCTTGAGCCATGGGCAGCTGGCTTTCTACCCCTTTTTGTTTGTTTGTTGGTAGTGGCATTTGAACCCAGGGTCTTATGCTAGACAGGTACTCTACCACAGAGCCATGCCTTCTAGCAGTGTCTTGTTTCCTGCCTGGATGTGTGCCTGAACCTTGATCTTCTTCAGCTGCTGGGATGACACTGTATCTAGCTGTCCACTGAGATGATGTGGCACAGTCTCTTCTGTCTCAAAGTCAGCCTACACTGACTTTGTATTATGATTCTTCTGTCACTAGCCTCACAAGTAGCTGGGATTACAAGTATGAGCCACTGGAGCCCAGTTTCCTTCTGTTCTTTAAAAAAAAATTTCCCCCCTACTGATCCTGGGGCTTGAACTCAGGGCCTAGAGGCATTGTCCTTGAGCTTTTTTCGCTCAAGCTAGCACTCCCGTATGAGCCACAGCTCCACTTTCAGCTTTTTTAGTGGTTAATTGGAGATAAGAGTTTCATGGAAGCCGGGCACCGGTGGCTCACACCTGTCATCCTAGATACTCAGGAGGTTGAGATCTGAGAACTAGTTCAAAGCCAGCCTGGGCAGGAAAGTCCATGAGACTCTTATCACCAATTAGCCACCAGAAAACCAGAAGTGGTGCTGTGGCTCAGAGCTCAGGGATGGTGCCCAGGCCCAGAGTTCAGCCCCACAACTGACAAAAGAAAAAAAAAAATCCCATGGACTTTTCTGCCTTGGGTGGTCTTGAACCATGATCTTCAGATCTCAGCCTCCTGAGTAGCTAGGATAAGAAGTGTGAGCCACTGGGCCCAGCCTCTGTATAATTTAAGAAGTGGATAGACAGGGCCTGTAGGCGGATGAGAGGAAGGAAAAGCATTCGGGTGGAACTCTAGATCACAGCGGGCTGGCTGAGGGCAGGAGCCCAGGCCCACCTCACCTCTCCACTGCCCTCCGGATGTGGGCCATCCAGGTGTTCCTGTCCTCTTTGGAGGTGGTGTAGATTTCATACATTTCAGGCCCTTGCAGGGAGGCGCTGATCAGAAACATAGCTTTCTCTTCATTGGCCACCTCCCTCACGATGAGTTTTTGTAGAGAGATGACAGGTGGCTTGGAGTCCTGCAGGGAAGAAGGCAGAGAGGGAGAGGCTCATGCATTTAGCAGCATTGGAATCACCAGTCTCAGGGCAGGTGAAGGTATGGGGGAATCAGTAAGTGAATTAGTAGTGGGTGCTGGTAGTTCATGCCTATAGCTACTCAGGAGGCTGAGATCTGAGGATTGAGGTTTGAAGCCAGCCCAGGCAGGAAAGTGTCTGTCCCCACGTGACCTTCATGTCTCTGTATGAACACACCAGCTGGGTGCTGGTGGCTCATGCCTGTCATCCTAGCTAAGGATCTAAGGATCATATTTAAAAGCCAGCCTGGGCAGGATAGTCCATGAGACTCTTATTTCCAATGAGCCACCAAAAAGCTGCAAGTGAAGGCTCTCTAGTCCCTAGCAAATTCTCCAGCCTGGTAAGAATCTTCCAGAAAGGCCTGGCTTCTACAAGGTTAACTCAGTATGCCTTCTTCCCAGGGTTGTGCTTGTGTTCCCTTATTGATGTTATTCCCCACCCCACATATACCCTACTAGCTATCTCTTCTATGGGGCCACCCCACAAAGTGCCAGAAAAATCCCCTTTGATGGGGACTCTGGGTACATACCACGGATGCAAAGACATATTTCTGATCTTTTTCTTGCAGTAGTAAAAGCACGTCAGTGAGCAGGACGGCAAGGATGTCTGAGGAGACAGCACATAAGGACATTTTAGCGGAAGTATCTCCATGGGATACACAGGATCTCCATGGGTAGCAGGGTAGTCATCTGACCCCACAGGGCCTTTTAGGCACTGACTACCCACTCAGCCTTTAAGTTTTCTGTCTGACCCACCTTTTCCCCTGTGTATTGGTCCCCGTTTAGATGCCCCTTTGGTGGCTGTGGTATAACAGGCTCAGAGGCAAGGCCAGGTTCCTACCCTGTGCAAGGCTACTGTGCCAGATGGTTCTCTTTGTCATAGTGCCCTAGCTTCCCGTGCTGTCACTCTGATTTCTCAAGGAACACTTGTTCTCTCTGCCCTCAGCCACCGGATGCTCACACTCTGCCTTTTATGACAGTGAGCAGCGAGGGCCGGTGTCTGTCCCACATAACTCTAACCTGGCTTGGAGCCATGTCTCTGTATGAACACACCAGCGCATCTTGTTGGGTGCTGGTGGCTCACGCCAGTCATCCTAGCTAAGGATCTAAGGACCACAGTTAAAAGCCAGCCCAGGCAGGATAGTCCATGAGACTCTTATCTCCAGTGAACTAACAAAAAAGTCTCAAGTGGTAGAGCGCCAGCCTTAAGCATAAACACTTTCATGGAAGCCTGCTGGTTCCTTCAAAGCATTTACAGCACCTTTAACTCTGTGCATGTGTGTGTGTCTTTTTTTTTTTTTTTGGTCATGGGGCTTGAACTGTGGGCCTGGGCATTGTCCCTGAGCTCTTTAGCTCAAGTGCTCTACTACTTGAGCCACAGCACCACTTCCAGTTTTCTGAGTGGTTGATTGGAGATAAGAGTCTCATGGACTTTTCCTGCCTGGGCTGGCTTTGAACCGAGATCCTCAGATCTCAGCCTCCTGAGTAGCTAGGATTATAGGCATAAGCCATTGGCTTATGTGTGTGTGTGCGTGTGTGTGTCTCTCCCTCTCTCTCTCTTTGTTTCTTCTTTCTGCCCTACTGTTTGGCTGTGTTCCACTGCCAATCTAAGATGGCATGTATCACACCCAAAGTGGTATTTCTGTTCCAAGATGGAAACCTCCTCTCCCCCCATTTCCAGAAGATGTCCTACCCACCTCCTCCTCATGTGACCAGGGCCCCACCTCACCTTTCAGGCGTCCAGATGTGGTCTTGCAGCAGAGGGCGCCCTCCAGATACAGCTGCCTCTGCAGCATGTCCTCCTTGCGGAAGGCGAGCCCATTCTTGAGTTTGCTGGAGGACTTTAAGTCCATCTTCCCAGCGATCTCCCGGAGGCGCTGGCCCTTCTCGCACTCGCTCACCTTGGCGTCCACTTGGGAGATGATGTCTCTGATGAGGTTCAGGGCGTGGGTGAGGTCTTCATGATCCTCTGTGCCAGCTGCCACACACAGCGTAGTTAGTGCTTTCTCTGGGCTGACTCATGAGCACATGGGCATGCATTCACTATGGGTGGCTGAGATCTGTGAGCTGTGTTCTGGGGGGGGGGGGGGGGGGGAGTCATGGGGGTCACTGCTCAGGATTCCCTGACCAAGATCATCTCCCAACTGTAATTCCTGAGACACAAATGGCTCTCTCCAAAATAAATAACAGCCCAGCCCAGAGGTTTAGTTTTGTATCTAAGGAGAATTTCCATGGGACACAGAAGCTAAAAGATAACATGAGTGACAAAAGCTGTGTTCTATCTCCTGTTGGGACACTGATGAGCAACTCCTACTTCAAAGGCCCGGAGGAGGAACAGCCTGAATCCACGGGAGATAGGGCTGCTGAGCTCACCAAGCCTGGCCCGGGGCCTCCTGGGTGATCCTTTTCTGCCATCTGCAGGAGCATCCTTGGCTTGGCATGGTCACCATACACAATCTTTGGGCTGGGTGACTATGGCTCATGGTTGTCACCCTAGCTACTGAGGAGGCTGATATCTAAAGACTGTGGTTCTAAGTCAGCTTGGGTAGACTCTGATCTCTAGTTAACAGCAAAAATTCAGAAGTAGAACTGTGCCTCAAGTGTAGAGTGCTACCTTGAGTAAAAAAGCTGAGGGACAATGCCTAGGCCCCTGAGTTCAAGCCCCAGGACCAGCACAAACATAAACAAACAAACAACTGGTGCTGGTGGCTCACGCCTGTAATCCTAGCTACTCAGGAGGCTAAGTTCTGAGGATTGTGGTTCAAAGCCAAAGCCAGTCTAAGCAGTCCGTGAGACTCATATGTCCCATGAACTACCAGAGAATTGGAAGTGGTGCTGTGGTTCAAAGTTGTAGAGCACTAGCCTTGAGCAAAAGAGCTCAAGGATAGTGCCTAGGCGAGAGTTCAAGCCCCACGACCAACAAAAACTTAAGTAAAAATAAACAAAGGTGTCTTTGACCATTCTGGCTAAGCAAGCATGATCTTACTCCATCCACTCACCTAGCACACAGAAGGGCCCCAGGATCTGGGAGATCAAGCTTGGGTTAGGGTCAGGGTCATGATGAACAAAGGAGACCCAGCCCTTGACCTCACATGCTGACTGTCCCAGTTTGCCTGGATTGGAAAGCCCAGCTCCCAGCACAGAGGATTCCAGGGAGATTTGCACAATCTATTGCTAAAAGGTGCAGTTGGTGACATGAGACCCCTGTGCATCATAGCCCTGGCAGGCAAGGTAGTGGGGAGCGTGCCTACCTTCTGTGTTCTGAATAATGCGCTCCACCAGCACCGGGTATTTGGTTATGCGCTGGGTAACCAGGAGAATACACTCCTGCACGCCAAGCCGCCGTACAATGGAAAAGTTGCCAATTTTCTATGAAACAGGAAAAAACCATTCAGTGTGAATGTCTTAATCAGTTACAATCAGTTTCCAAGGCCTGGGCTCCTTCGATCTCAGCTTGCTGGGACATTTTCTTTTTTTTTTGGTCTGGTCTTGGGGCCTGAACTCGGCCTGGGCGCTGTCCCTCAGCTCTTCAGCTCAAGGCTAGCGCTCTACCACTTGAGCCACAGCGCCACTTCTGGCTTTTTTCTTTTTGCTTATGTGGTGCTGAGGAATCGAACCCAGGGCCTCAGGCATGCAAGGCAAGCACTCTACCACTGCGCCACCTTCCCAGCCCCATGGGACATTTTCTTTGCTGTTCTGTTGGGGATGCATGCTGGATACCTAGATATACATAAAGACCATCCAGAGTCAGGTGCTGGTGTCTCACGCCTATAATCCTACTACTCAGGAGGTTGAGATCTGTGGATGGAGGTTCAAAGCCAGCCCAGGCAGGAAAGTCCATGAGACGCTTATCTCTGATGAACTACTAGAAACCAGAAGTGGAACAGTGGCTCAAAATGGTAAGGTGCTAGCCTTGAGCAAAAAAGCTCAGGGACAACACCCAGCCCTAAATTCAAGCCCATGACCGACAAAAAAATAAAATAAAAATAAATAAAGGCCATCCACCTTCTCAGAAAACCAAGCTCCTCCAAAACTCATTAAAGAACAAGGTATGGTTGGTCTATGCTTGAAATCCCAACAGCTGGGAGGCTGAGCCAGCAGGATCATGAGTCCCAGGTTACAAATGGGGACAGTAAGGGGATAGTGACTTCAAGAATTATTCATGTGTCCCTGGATGTGGTGGCCCTGGAGGGTGTGCCCTGGGCAGGCCAGCTGTTTCAAAGGACCCCTGTAGCCAGATCTGGTAGTGCACATCTGTCATCTCAGCACTTAGGAGGCTGAGGCAGGAGGATCCCAGGCAAACCTGCCACATAGCAGTACTATCACTCAATGCCACCTATGAGAAAAGGAAAAAAGGAAAGCCTCTTATCTATCCCAAGAATGTGCAGGGATATCTCAGGCTGCACAGGTAGCAAAGAAAGTACCCTGAATATACTTGGGTTGTTTTCTTTTTCTTTTCCTCCTTCCCTCCCTCTTTTCATCTCCCCCTCCCCTGCCTTTCATCAGTTGTAGGGCTTGAACTCTGGGCCTGGGCCCTATCCCTGGGCTTCTTTTGCTCAAGGATGGCACTCTACCACTTGAACCACAACACCATTTCTAGCTTTTTCTGTGATTAATTGGAGATAAGATTCTCATAGACTTTCCTGCCCAGGCTGGCTTTGAATTGAGATTCTTGAATCTCAGCCTCCTGAATAGCTAGGATTACAGGTTGGTGCCATCTCTGGGAGCTTAAACTCAGGGTCTGGCCACTGTCATTGAGCTTTCTTTCTTTCTTATTTTTTGGGGGTCAGTTTTGAATTCTGGGCTTGGGCACTGTCTCTCTTCAGTTCAAGGCTAGAGCTCTACCACTTGAGCCGCAGCACCACTTCTGGTTTTCTGGTGGTTTATTAGAGATAAGAGTCTCACTGACTTTCCTGCCCGGGCTGGCTTTGAACCACAGTCTTCAGATCTCAGCCTCCTGAACAGGTAGGATTACTGGCGTGAGCCACTGGCACGCAGCCCCTGAGTTTCTCTTGCTCAAGGCTAGTACTCTATCACTTGAGCTACAGCTTTTTGGTGGTTAACTGGACTTTTCTGTTTTGTTTTGTTTTTTTAAAGTTTCACAAAATACAAAAGCAGGGTTGGGGCATGGCTCAAATTGTGAGGGGCATGGCTAATAAAAGAGGCCAAGTTCAATGGCCAGTATAATCAAAACCCCTCTAAAACACACATATACAAATGCACCACACTTTTTTTTGGCTGGTTCTGGGGCTTGAACTCAGGGCCTGGGCACTGTCTCTGAACCTCTCTGTGCTCAAAGCTAGCACTCTACCACTTGAACCACAGCGCTGTTTCTGGCTTTTTCTGTTTATGTGGTGCTGAGGAATGGAACACAGGACTTCACTCATGCTAGGCAAGCACTCTACTGCTAAGCCACATTCACAGTCCAAAGGTCAGTCTCTCCCCACCCCCACCTCCCTGCATTCCTGGGGCTTGAACTGGGCCTGAGAACTGTCCTTGAGTCTCTTTGTGCTCAAGGCTCACACTCTACCACTTGAGCCCAGCTCCACTTCCTCGCACCACTGCTTTTTATTTTTTTTATTTATTTTTTTTTTTTTGTCGGTTGTGGGGCTTGAACTCTGGGCCTGAGCGCTATCCCTCAGCTCTTCAGCTCAAAGTGAGCATTCTACCACTTGAGCTACAGCGCCACTTCTAGCACCATTGCTTTTTAAACTTTACAACTCTCCAATCTCAAGATACAGTGATTCTGTGGACAAAATGTACAGTGAAGAAAAGATTCTAATTAAATGACATTTTTTTTTTACCTTGATCAAGTTTTGAAATTTCTTATTTTGTTGCAGCAGTAACTTGTAATGACTGACGGCTTCGTTGTGGCCGCTACAGAACACCCCGTATTTTTCTTTCATTCTCTCCCCACTTTCACCGGAAAACTGATAGGGAAGATGAAGAAAAAGAGGAAGAGGAAGGGAAAGGTCACTTCTTCTGAGTTCAGCTGAGGGTGCTAAGGTAAATAAATATCTTCAACTAGGAACTATCATCACCTCAGAGCAAGGTACCCTGAAAAAGTTGGACAGCTCTCCACTGGGGGCCTAGAGAGCTTCCTGAGATCCAAAAGGAAAGAAGTAAGTTTCAGCCAAAAAATGTTAGACAAAAAGAAAAAGCTGGCAGGTGCAGGTAGCACACACCTGTAATCTTACCTACTCAGGAGGCTGAGATCTGAGGACCAGGTTTCAAAGCCAGCCCAGGCAAGAAAGTCCATGAGACTCTTACCTCCAACTAACCATCAAAAAACTGGAAGCAGAGCTACGGTCCAAGTGGTAGAGTGCCAGCCTTGGGGAAAAAAGCTTAGCAACAACATCCAAGTCTTAGAATCAGTGGAGGAACACTCACACACACATATGAAGAAAAGAAAAGCAAAATACAAAAAAAGACAAAAAATAGAACATGCCAAAGGGTTATTTTTTTTCTATTAATTACCTTTCTTCCCTCCCTCCCTCCCCCTCTTTCTGTTGATGTGGTACCAGGAGCTGAACCAAGGCCTCATGTATGCTAGGCAAGCAATCTACCACTAAGTCACATTCCCAGCCCAGGGCTATGCTTCTTTAAGGCAATAATAAATTTATTATTCCTCTCTCTCTCTCCCTCTCCCTTTCCCTCTCTCCCTTCCTTCCTCCCTCCTTCCCTCTCCCTCTCCCTCTCTCTTTCTCTCTCTCTCTCTGGTTGGCCGTGGGGCTTGAACTCTGGGCCTGGGCACTGTCCCTCAGCTCTTCAGCTCAAGGAGAGCATTCTACCACTTGAGCCACAGTGCCACTTCTGGTTTTCTGGTGGTTGATGGGAGATAAGAGTCTCACAGATTTTCCTACCTGGGCTGGCTTTCAACCATAATCCTCAGATCTCAGCCTCCTGAGTAGCTAGGATTACAGGCATGAGCCACCATTGCCCAGCTATTTTTTCTCTTAGGGTGCTGGGGATAGAACTCAGAGCTTTGCGCATGCCAGACAAGTGTCCTGATCCCTCCTGGTCCCAAGACCAAGCTCCTTAAGTCATCCTAACTGACTGATCTAGGATGCTTTGGGCATTGGTGTGAGATTAAGCAAGGGTACTTCAAGATTCTTCTCTTTTTCTATACCAACACTGAGGGTTGAGGTGACTACCTGCATGGAACACACTTCTAACCATCACATACAACAGCTAGCACCCCCAAATCACAATCAAACAAACAAAAACACAGCCATGCTGGAATGGGAAGGAAGGGTTCAGGACTGTGGGATCCTGATGAGCTAGAGCCATGGTCTTTTCCTGATTGGAAGGAATGGAGAAAGGGTGGAGGTTGGTGTGTCCCACCATAGGCCACACCCACCCCACCATAGGCCACACCCACCCCACCATAGGCCACACCCACCCACCACAGGCCACACCCACCCATCACAGGCCACACTACCTGCTGCACCAGGAGGTCCCCGATCTTCTGGATGACATAGTTGTGCTCGCTGCCCTCCTCCAGGGCCTCCAGGCGGCGCTCCTTGAGCCGGGCCAGGAAGTGGCCATGCATGTCCAGCAGGTCATCAGCGCAGGGGAAGAGGCGGCTGATGGCCCGGCTGCTGAACTGCAGCTCTTCCTGCAGGGCCCGGGAATACACCCTCAGCATGATTTTCAGCGTCCGCACGTGGTGTGCCTCTGTCTGCATCAGCTCTGTGGGGACACATGGAGATGCTCAGCAGGACTTACTCAAGCTAGCCCCAAGGGCCCACTGGGCCTTTGTGTGTTGCCAAGTGCTACCTGTCTGTTCTGGCCTCTGCAAGCTCTCCACCTAAGGCATTGCCTTTGTAGGGTGATGAAGTTTTTTCCTTTTTTTTTTTTTTTTTTTAAATTAGTTAACAAATGTTTTTATTTTTGTGCCAGTACTGGGTTTGAACTCACGGCTTGAGTGCTGTCCCTGAGATTTTTTTTGCTCAAGGCTAGTGCTCTACCTCTTGAGACACAGCTCAGCTTCTGGTTTTCTGGTGATTAACAATAGTCTCACGGACTTTCCTGCTAGTGCTGGCTTTGAACTGTGATCTTCAGCTCTCAGCCTCCTGAGCAATTAAGATTACAGGTATGAGCCACTGGTAGCCAACTGTTTTTTTTTTTAAACACAAAAAGTCTTGTTCTGTTGCACGGGGTCAGCCTATGACCATCATCCTCCTAAACTTTGCTTCCTGAGTAGCTGAGATTATAGCCATATACCATCATACCTACCTTATTTGGCTATTCTAATTGTCTAGTTTTCCATCTTCTGCAGCCTGGTTCTGTGAGTCCCAGGCCAAAAGAAAAGAGTGTGCTTGGGCTGGGGGCATGACTCAAGCAGTAGAACATTAGCAAGCACAGAGCCCTGAGTTCAAACCCAAGTACTGCAATAAACACCACAAAATAAAAAAAAAAACATTAAACAGAATCAAAGCCCCGGTTTCATGTCAAAAGCCATGAAAGCTATCTCAAGACTGTTTCCAGTAAGAGGTTCGTGCTAAGGAACCCCATGTCTGTGGGCAACAAACTTGCACATCTGTAGAGCTGTGGCTCAAGTGGTAAGAGTGCTAGCCTTGAGCACAAAAAGCTCAGGGACAGTGCTGGGCGCTGGTGGCTCACGCCTGTAATCCTAGCTACTCAGGAGGCTGAGATCTGAGGATTGCCGTTCAAAGCCAGCCCGGGCAGGAGAGACCATGAGACTCCTATCTCCAATAAACCACCAGAAAATCGGAAGTGACACTGTAGCTCAAGTGGTAGAGCGCTTGCCTTGAGCTGAAGAGCTGAGGGACAGCGCCCAGGCCCAGAGTTCAAGCCCCATGACCGACCAAAAAAAAGCTCAGGGACAGTGCCTAGGCCCTGAGCTCAAGTCCCAAGACTGGCACCAAAAAAGAGACCCGAGATATCTCTGCCATCTTTCCCCATTGTGGGGACACAGGAAGAAGAGGCCGCCATCAGTAGGCCTGTTGATCTACGACACCCCAGTTTCTAGAACCTACTGAGCAGCAATAAATGTTTGTTGTTTTGGGCTACCCTGTAGATAGGATTGCCTGGGAGAAACTGAAATCCAAGAGGCAACCACCACTCAGGTGAGAGAGAGTCGAACCTGGGCACCAGGCCAGGCTTGTCCTCAGGGCCTGGTGCTAATGGAGTCCTTCCCTAACTACATCTAAGACGCTGGACTACCTTGGGGTGGGAGATGCAGAGGACAAAGGTGACAGGGTTTCAAGGGAGGTTAGTCATAAATTAGGGAAATAAAATAGGCAAGAGAAGACACAGGCAGAGCCTCATGGAGACACCTTACCATAAAGGACATCTTGCCTCTTCACCACCTCTTTCTTTTGTTTTTTGGCATATGCCAAGTCTACTGCCAGGCTCCAGGACTCAGCCTCGAACTCGTGGGCATCAGCTTCTATCTCGCTCCTCAGTGAGGCAGTGTAGGGATCTAGGGGAAGGGCAGGAGATGCTGGTGAGGGCCTGGAACCTAGCTGGCCACCCCCAGAGTTTCAACCCTAGGTTTCCCCTGTGTACCCATTGATGTGGGTCTGGAGCTTCCCAGCATGCACTGGGTCTGGGAGCATTCCTAGGAGATAGCTGAGCATACCTTCCAGGAAAACTGAGTCTGCATTGGAGGGTGTAAGTGACAGAGAGTCGTCGGCTGCCTGCTTCAGTTTTAGGAACACAGAGTCAGCTTCATCCATCTCTCCTGTGGCTGGTCTAAGTGGAAATGATCAACAGCAATAAGTCAAAGGATGTAACACACACACACACACACACACACACAAATGGCCAGGTGCTGGTGGCTCATATTTGTGATCCTAGCTGCTCAGGAGGCTAAGATCCGAGGTTCTCGGTTCAAGGCCAGCCTGGACAGACAAATCAGAGACTCTTACCTTTAATCAACTAGTAAAAATCCAAAAGTAGAGTGTGGCTCAAGTAGTAGAGTGTCAGCCTTGAGCAAAAAAGCTAAGATATAGTGCCCCAGGTCCTGAGTTCAAACTCCAGCATCAAAGTATGAATAAGGTAAGTGAAAAATAAACACACACACACACACACACACACACACACACACACACACACACACACACACACACAACCTTGTGTATGAAAGCAAATCAGGTATGACTCCATCTGATTAGATATGATGAGAGAACTTTCTGGATTACAGTAGCAGTCTTAACTTTGTTATAGATCACTTTTAGGAGACCAGCCAGGCACTGGTGGCTCATGCCTGTAATCCTACTCAGGAGGCTGAGATCTGGGGATCATGGTTCAAAGCCAGCCCCTGAGACTCTTATCTCTGATTAACAACCAGAAAACCAGAAGTGGAGCTGTGGCTCCAAGTGGTAAAGTGCTAACCTTGAGCAAAAGAGCTCAAGGACAGCACCTAGGCCCTGAGTTCAAGCCCCACTACTGGCACCAAAATTAAATAAGATAAAATAAACTAGGAGATGATTGGGCTGGGGTTGCTGCTTAGTGGGAGAACACTTGCTTGAGCAGGTGTAGAAGGCCCTCGGTTCCATCTCCAGTATGGAAACAAACAAGCCTAAAAAATTAAAATTAAAAAAATAAACCTAAGGGACTCTATAACACAGGGACATCTTCCATTAGGACTAATTTTAGTGTCCAGTGGATACTGGGGTGCATGAAATTTTTTGTACACAATCTGGGGTGAGGGCACAGCTTCATCAAGGGAAGGGTGGGAGGAGAGAATTTCACAGAGAAAAATACTCAGCGGCTTCCTCAACATCCAGGAAGTATCCAGAAGTGATGAATGATCCAAGCCATTGTGATGCTGAACTCAGGGAACCCCGGGGGGAAAGCCAGGGAGTAACAGAAACCAGGGTGCTGGACCCCAACATCCTCCTCCCAGCTCTCCCAGTGTAACCTAGTACCCCGGGAACCCCTGGTTTTCTAAAGATCTAAGAGCACAGACAGGGCACAGTAAGTGTTAATAGGAATTACCCAGGAATGGGGAGTCCACCCCCCCGCCCCCTTAGACCCAAGTCCTGGGGAGACAGAGAGAGAGAAGAGAAGGGAAGAGTCTCCATGTGGAGAGGTAGGTAACAGTGTTACCCACTTCTCCATGCATGGCTGTAGGGGTGGTGGTGATGGTGGGGGAAACCTCTGGCTTACCCGAATCGTACCCCAGTTCCGGCTGGGCTTGGTGTTGTCTGGGGTCCCCCTTTCTGAGCGACCGTCATGCCGACATTCCTGGCGGGGACCGGGCTGCCATGGGACAGGAGGGTGGCCCGCGGAGGCTGCTCCTTCAGCGATGCTGTGACAGAAGCAAGCAGAGAGTTGGAGCTGAGGAAGTGCGCCGGGTAGCGCAGGGGGCCGGGCCGGAGGCTGCGCTCGGCCCCTGGCCGCAGCACCGACAGGATCTTGGAGGTCAGCAGCTCGTTATCCAAGAAGACACTGTCGTTCCATTTCCTGGAAAAAGAGCTGTAAAATGACAGCTCGGGGGGTCCGGGCAGCGCCCCGGGCCGATCACCACCCTTGGAGTGTGCGCTGCCCATGTTGGGGCGCTTCGGGGGCTCCAGGACCCTGTGCCCGCTCTGCGAGGCTGCACTGCACCCCACTTATTGGCTTTTAATGCCTCTGGGATCCTTCTGGAAGAAGCCACAGCCTTCCTTTGCGGTATTGGCTGGAGCCGTGGGGTTGGAGCGCAGGGAAATCATTGGTCCCCACTGTGACCGTCTAGGGTGGAAATGGCACAAAGGTGTTTTTTTTTTTTTCTCCCTCCTTTGATAAAAAAATCATAAAATAAAAAATAAATAAATAAAATGAAAGAAATCTTCCTTGCTCCTGGCAGGGGGCACAGAGAGAAGAGTAGTGTGTGCTGGCTGTAAATCATCTGTGCTCTTGCGAACAGGAGCTGTGAGCTTGGCCTGCTTTGGGGGACTCCCCCCCCTCCCCACAGCCAAGCACAGGGATAATTACTATGACATTGATTGTCAGGATGCCACCAAGACCAGGGGAACAAGAGGCAGGTGCCCACCGAGCTACTTATTCTGCTCCAACATATTTCTTTTCTTTCTTTTTTTTTTTTTTACTTTTAAGCATTTCATTAAAAATTTTTAACTTTTATTTTTTAATCCAACACATTTCTACCATCAGCGGCTCCCATTCTGATTTTTTTTTGGGGGGGTGGGGCAGAACTAGGATTTAAACTTAGGGCCCTGCATTTAGGCTGACATTCTATAGCTTGAGCCACACCTCAGCTTATTCTGATTTGGTGACGAGTATCACCACACCTAAATACTGGTTAAACTTTTTTGCCCAGACTAGCCTCAAACTGCCACCTTCCTATCTTCCTGAGTAGCTATGATTATAGGTATATACCACCAGTGCCCAGCCAGCCTGTTTCTGTTTGTTTGTGTTGTTTTTCCCAATCCTGGGGCTTGAATTCAGGACCAGGGCTGTCCCTGAACCTTTTTGTGTTCAAGGCTAGTGGCACTTGAGCCATAGTGCCACTTCTGACTGGTTCTGAGTAGTTTATTGGAGATAAGAGTCTCATGGACTTTCCTTACTGGGTTGGCTTTGAATCGTGATCCTCATATCTCAGCCTCCCAACTAGCTAGGATTACAGGTATGAGCCAGCAGCACCTGGCTTTTTTTTTTTGGTTGGTTGTGGGACTTGAACTCTGGGCCTGGGCACTGTCCCTCTGCTTTTCGGCTCAAAGCTAGCGCTCTACCACTTGAGCCACAGCACCACTTCCAGTTTTCTGAGTGGTTTACTGGAGATAAGAGTCTCACGGAGTTTCTTGCCCAGGCTGGCTTTGAACTGCGATCCTCAGATCCCAGCCTCTTGAGTAGCTATGATTACAGGCATAAGCCACTGCTGGTGCCCGGATTTGTATTTTTTTGTTTTTTGTTCTTAGTGCCAGTCCTGGGACTTTAACTCAAGACCTGGGTGCTGTCTTCAAGCCTCCTTGGGTTCAGGGTGAATGCTCCACCACTTGAGCCACAGTGCCACTTCTGGCTTTTTCTGAGTAGTTTACTGGAGATAAGAGTCTCTTGGACTTACCTGCCCAGGCTAGCTTCAAATCGTGATCCTCAGATCTCAACTTCCTAGGCATGATTATGAGCCACACCAGTGCTCAGCTAGCCATTTGTTTTTGAAGACAGGGTCTTACTAGGTAGACTAGACTGGCTTCAAACACTTGATCCACCTGCTCAGCCTCCTGGATGCTGAGATTACAGGTGTGTACCACCACACCTGTCTCTAATTCCTTCCTTCCTAAGGTGCAGGGTGGGGGAAATGACATTTTTTTCCAGTGACTGCAAATGAATGGCTAACAGAGATTATTAGTATAGTAGTGGGTGAGGATGATGAAGATGTCACTCATCTACAAAAGCCTATGCATAAGAACAAAAGGTTCCCAAGTGGAAGTCCACAGGGTCTGGGGCAGGCACTTCCTGCCAATCTGTATAGCACCTGAAACTCCACCCTGGCAATTATGAGCTAAAAGTACAAATATGCAACAAATCCTGAAATGCTGCCTCTGCCCAGCCGCCTGGCCTGGTGACATGTTGTTCCTGGGAACCAGGCTCTGACCCAAGGGAAGTGGAGTCTGCTTTAGTCATAGTCACTACAAACTCATGACAAACAAACTCAGGTTTTGAACTCATGACCTTGGCTTGCTAGTCAGGTGCTTTACTGCTTGAGTCAAGCCTGGACCACCTGAGCCATGCCCCCAGCCCTCCAAGGACTCTGAGTGCTAAAGCTACTGTGACAGACTTAAATTTTTTTTTTTTGGGGGTCCGGTCGTGGGGCCTGAACTCTGGGCCTGGGCACTGTCCCTCAGCTCTTCAGCTCAAGGCTAGCGCTCTACCATTTGAGCCACAGCGCCACTTCCGGCTTTTTTCTTTTTGCTTATGTGGTGCTGAGGAATCGAACCCAGGGCCTCAGGCATGCAAGGCAAGCACTCTACCACTGAGCCACCTTCCCAGCCCCCTTAAATCTTCCTTATATGATTCAGAAGCCAAGTTTTCATGTCAAAGGATGGTGTGTCATGAACCCATTCTCTCTGTAACTTGTCAGTTTGAATTAATTATGCTTTTTTGGGGGCCAGTTCTGGGCCTTGAACTCAGGGCCTGGGTGTGCTGTCCCTGAGCTTTTCCATTCAAGGCTAGTGTTCTGTCACTTTGAGCCACAGCCCCACTTCCAGTTTTCTGGTGGTTCATTGGAGATAAGAGTCTCCTGGGATTTTCTTGCCCAGGCTACTTTGAACTGTGAGCCTCAGATCTCAGCCTCCTGAGTAGCTAGGATTACAGGCATGAGCCACTGGCACCCAGCCTGCAAGGGTCTTTTTTATAGAGCCCAGTCTGGCCTCAAACTTGCCATCTTCCTGCACCTGTCTCCAGAGTGCTGGGATTATAGCTATGCACCACTATGCTTAACCTCAACAACTTCACACAGCAGATCATGGTCCACCTGCTCACATTACCTTAAGCCCTAGAATCAGGGCAAGCCCTATGTCCTGAGGCCTGCTGAAAGGATCTGAACTACCCCATCTCCAATCTGCTTACTCTGTCTCACCCATTCTTTCCTGCAGAAATCACCATAAAAGCTCATGCCTGCAGGGTGTGATGTGATAGTGTACACCTGCAATCCCAGTTTCTTGGGAGGCAGAGACAGGAGGTCAATTGGAGGACAGCCAGGCCAAGTTAGCATAAGTCCTTATCTGGAAAACAAAACCAGCAAAAGGACTAGGGTTGGAGACAAGTGGCTCAAGTGGTAGAACACTATGCCTAGCAGGTGCCTGACTTGAACCCCCAATAATACAAAAATAAACAACTTGCTCTCATCCGCCTTCTCCTTTTCCCTCTGCCTCCAACTAACCCTGGTCAGTAGGCAACTATGGGTTTAAACATCTTCCTTCATGATGACCATTTCCGTGTTTGCATGTTTCTAATCATACCTTGTTAAAACAAACCACAGTTATCCTGAGTACAGCAGCTACTCAGGATCCTTAAAATCTGTCTGTGTGGCCAATGAAAGCTGTAAATGTTCCTGGGCTGCAAGGTTCCTGGGTAGAATGAAAGGTTACTATCCTGCAAATCACTCAGGCTGCAGTGTGGTGCTTCACAGTTAAAAACTGTTACCATGCCTCTGGGAAGTGCCCACATGTTTCCAAAGATACTGTTGGATATGCCTATCTATTGATGAAGAGATACACATCAGTGGGCCGATACATCCATATAATAAAAAGTATTACTCAGCCATGAAGAAAATGTAGGATAAGCTGGGTATGGTGGCTCACCCCTGTAATCCTAACTATTCAGGAAGCTGAGATCAGAAGCATCACCACCCAAGGTCAGCCCAGAAAAGGCTGAGACTCCACTTCCACGACAGAGGTTGGGCATGGTGGCATTATCTGTCACCCCAGCAGCAGGGGGAAGCCTAAAATGGGCAGATGGTGGTCCAACCGCACACTAAACCTGGGCAAGAAGTGAGATCCTACCTCAAAAATAACCAGTGCAAAAACTGGACTGGAAGCCTGGATTGGTGGTACAGCACCCTGCCTATGAAGCACAAGGTCCTGAGTTCAAAACTCAATTTTGCCCTTTCCTCCCCCCCCAAATAGATGAAGTAGACATACATGCTACAAAGTGGGTAAACCCTGAAATTCTCTGCTCAGGGGAAGAAATCAGACACAAAATAGTGAATGGATATGATGTCATTTGATAAATACATTTAAAGTCACTGGATTGTACACATAAGTGTCTGGTGTGGGAACTGTATCTCCATGAAACTGTTCAATGCACACGTGCACACACCCACACCCCACATGCACACACAGCTGTGTGTAGCCAGAACCATCTGTCTTTCTTTCAGGGGACAGTCCTGGTTTGAGATCAGAATACACACTTATCTCTTGGTGGGTTAGGTGGGTGGGTGAGGCTCTGTGTTCGGATCTGCTTTGCAGGGCTAGGGGGCAGCTCAGTGGGTAGAGTGCTGCTGGGCAAGCTGCACATAAGAACCAGGGTTTGATCTTTAGCCCTAAAGAGAAAAAGGCCACTGTGGCACTCAATTAGCACGTCTGTTCCCTGCTGAGTGGCGTGATTGATCTGTGCGCACCTGGCTGCCTGCAGCATTTGCCTGTACTGCTCTAAGCTGCTTCTGAAAGAGACCAGGAGAGGAGGCAGGGAGAAAATAAGAAGAAAATCGGGAAAATGGAAAGAAAGGTTTTTGACCAGAGTGAGGGGTACTACATATTCTCTGTGAAAGACAGTGGCCAGCTCCCAAGATTTTTTTTTTTTCTTGCCAGT